ATATAATCTTTAAAAACATGCCAGGATTGAACTAATCAGTATCCCACATGCAAAGACAACTTACAAAAGATCAATGATAATATTTTAATATGTCTGTATCTTACCAAACAAGAAATATACTGTCACATTTACCTATTTTCCTCAGTTATGGCACTGATGAATGCCTAAAAACATGCTTCGTCTTTGTTGCGTGATTTCATGATTTTGTCCAGTTAGACATTTCATGTTTCCCCAAAATTAAATTAAAAGATTTCTAACAAAACAAACAACAGATTTCGTCTATCTTTGCTTATTTTCTATAAATCTTTAGCTTGAAGATGTCACACTGTGTCCATTATTCAAATTATTGCAGTTCAGTAATGATATGAATAGATAAATACTCTCTTGTAGCATTTTCATTAATTACCACATTTCTGACAAAAGCCCCACCAGGTTTACAAGAAATGGTCGATTAATCATAATCCACCCAGGGCTATCACCACAGATGGGTAAGCCATCAGCATTACTAAAGGGGCAAATTTCACCGGCTAACTGGCCACCCCCAGATGAGCCTGGCTCACAGCCCTGAGGATTGCTAGATGAGGACTTGGGGCAAAAAAGTGTGTTGAATATTTACAGTTATTCATCAGGAATTGTTTACTAAACTACTCCTTTTTTGGACATAATTTTGAAAAGTCACTGAAGTTGTCACTGGAAATACTGAAAAGTTTGATTGTGTTATTGTTTGGCTATTTTATGCACCGGGACTTTTGACGTGTAAAGTTTTGCCAGCACTGATCTAAGAAGTCTTGAGTTGTGGGCAGAAACTGGTTTTGTAACCGCTAAATTCAATCACTGACATGAGAATATTTGCAACAGATGCCATGAAAGTCACTTCAGATGTTCCTGACATATTGCAATCATTCCTGAGTCTGATCAAGTGTTCTTGTGTAATTAAAAGAAAGGTGTTGATGAGAATAGAGAAGCCAAAAACGTAATGCCTCCCGCTACAGCTGTTGTCATCACAGGGGCATACAAATGTTGCGAATACTGGAAACCATTAAGATGTGATCTACCCACCTCGTCCTTATCTTCTGCCTGGATGAAGAGGGGCAGGGCAAAGCCCACCTGTGCCAGTTCGGTGATGCGGACCCGATATTCAGAACTGTTGAACTTCGGGGCGTTGTCATTCTTGTCAATTAACAGGATGGTGAAGGTGGTCACCACCGTTGCCCTAGATGGACTGCGGTCATCATTCAGCTCGGTGGCCTAACAGGAAGCCAGAGCAGGAAATGTTCATCAGAGAGAGAAAGAGAGAGGGACACAGAAAAAAAAAGAGAGACATAGCGAGAGTGAGAAAGAGCGATCCATTTGATTGGACTGAAAATGTCATTCTGGATGGAGACGGTCAGCACGCAATCTCACTCGGTATTTACAGCTGTTCATTTATTGGATCAAAAGGTGGACAGACGGCCTAAAAGCAATCACAGAAATAGGCTCAAAGTGAGGCCAAGAGAAGGCCAGCACATGTACATCCACACATAAACACTCATACGCATGAACACACAATGAGATTTAGGTGAAAGAAGTCCAATTGAGGAGACACAATTACACACACTCTGTTTTTGCCTGCCTCAGTTATTGAAGATGGCTGCCCTCTGAAATGAAAAAAATAGGAGGGAACGATAGAAAGGGGCAACCACTGTCTTTTATTGACGGACGAGTGTCACAGGCAATAGGAGGAGAAGCAGAAACAACATGCTAGTCTCTGGATAATCAGATAGTTTAGCCTCTTTCGTAACAGTGCTCCAGAATAATTTGACCTCCACGTGCTCGGTGCTATCTAAGCTGCCTGAAGTTGAGAAATTAGTTGTATTACTACGGCACACTCCAATCAATAACAGCACCAGCTAAGAAAGCAAAAGAAGAGGAGAGAAAATTTAGAGAGGAGGGGGGGAAAATCCATATCTTATAAATACATTTTTGGGTGACATTTTTTTCTTTTCCAGCCTTTTTGCTCATTCTACTTTTCTGGTTAGTAATTATTGATTTCAATTAAAAAGACAAGCCTGAGTCTGGAATATGTTTGCCAGAATCTCTTTTTGTATTAAACCTCAGAGCCAAATGTATCTCAATGGTCTCTCATATAAAAATGTCACGCGACCTGCTTTTTATTACCAATAATTGCAGCCAAATCAGTGAATGCACAAACGTCAGAGAGGCCATTTATCTTAAGGTGCGGCAGATTTGACTTGTCAAGCTATCAAGATCACGAATGGAATATTGTAACTACGCAGAAAAATGAGGCCTTTGTTCACAAATCTTTCCGCTTTCAGCAGGACTTGGAAATCCATTTCACGCGCCCTCACACCCTGTGGGAACCGCTCGGTGTACAATGGTGGAAGAGAAGAAATAATGACAACAAAAGTGGAGGACTGGACAAGGTGGCAAGGCTGCGGGTCGGGAGGTGGGGGGACAAGGGGGGACGAGAGGGAAGGAGTGACATGCTAAAAAGCCAAGCGAGAAAAACTTGGCTCATGGAGGGATAGAGGGATTCAGAGATCACACCTACTTCAAACAAGAGAAAAGGGGAAAAAATGGAGGAACAAAGGAGACCTCAGCATTAAGGAGGACTCTAAATCCTCTTCCTCTTTCTTGCTCTCTGCTCCCCTTGTTCTAATATCTGCTCATTCAGCACGAGCCTCTGGAGGGGACATTATCACAGAATCACAAGCATGAATATGGCCGCTAATGAGCCCAATAAAAGCACTTGAGTTTGTCAGAGTCTCATTTGTGCAGAAGCATATTGACAAAGCATCTAAACATATACTGCACGCACATCGTACATATCTAGTACTAACTGATTTCCTGCATAAGCGACAGACTGTATATCCAGTCTAAGAGATCCGTTTAGTTGGTCTTTGGAGACTAGATAGAATACACTTTCATATCAAAGTTCTCTCTTAATCCAGCGGTGAAGCAGCCTTTCAGTCTCTTGTCTAGGCTACGACAGTCCCTCCATCCCATAACTCCCCCCACGTTCGGCAGCTCACCCTGACAGTCAGAGAGAATCCTGCTGAGTAGAGGGGGTTTTCTCTGTCCAGCTGCCCATTCACTGTCAGGGATCCACTGATGTAGTCCAGGGCAAAAACACTGTTTGTGTTTCCTAGATGGAGAGAGAGAGAGGGAGAAGAAAGTCAGAGAGGGAAACAAAACCTGCATGGTTGATAATTCAACATGTCTCCTGGGATACAACAAGAATCCTTTGGAAGGGAAGGTGGTGGATGAGCCATGTGCAAGTCTCTATTTCATGTAATATGGATACTGCATTCACTGTGCTGTCTTTTATCTCTGTGCCTCCTTTAGGCTGGCCGACCTCCTCCAACCTGTCCACAAGCTGCTTCTCCTAAACCCGCTTTATTTCTGTCACCCTCCCCTTCCACTGCCTTCAGTTTTTCACTTCTTTATTGAGTTCATCTGTAATTTATGTAGTGATAATGCTGTCAGCAACTGATTGCAAGCATGGTTACACATCCCGGGAACTACAAGCATCGTGGCTGATATCGGAACGATCTTTTTTTATTATCACTGTTAGTGTCACAGAGACTTTTTTTTTTAAATTAAATAAATGGGCTACTGTTTTGTTTGTCTGTGAATTCTCATATGCAGGCATAAAACCATTTGTGCTTGCGCCATGGGTCTCCTGTCTCATTTGTGCTGCTGATTGGCAGTTAAGTCGCGATAAAAGCATCAAAGACGACGCATGCTAGCAAGAAAGAGTGTGATGTAGGATATCAAATGTTTTTAAGTTTGAATTTAAAACATTCTTTACTTAGAAGCTAAAACCCACAGATGAACTTCAAGAACATATTTGGACGTATAATTTGGTATTAATAGAATCTTATAATTCTTATAAGAATTTCTTAAATAGGCTTACAATACAGACTGACTGCAGTCACCCCTTTTGGCATGGGTTAATAAATTGCATTAACTTTGTCATACTCCATTTCAAATTATGAACGCTGCACTTTTCTCATTAACAAGTTCAAGTGTGCCTGGTGTTATCCATTCACTTCAATTAAACAGGTTAAAATATTAGACGGAGGCCCACTTGAGTCCTCTTCTAATATTTTCTTATTCCCTCTATTCCTTTTCAAATTACCGTCCTTCTCGTTAACTTTCACACCTCTCTCACACTTTTCTATGACACTTTCTCTTTCTGTCTCTCTCTCTCCCTCTCTCTCTCCGACACCCTGCTAATTACACCCAGCAGATGGAGAGCACAAACAAAAGCACACCCAATGGCCCTCACCTCTTCACTTTTAATGTTCTCTTGCTCCAGCCCCGCACTGCCTGGTATTTCCCTCTCTCAGATCAGATGCTCAAGTCTCATTCAGAGAAGCTAATGCCTTTACACTTTCAGTGTGATCCTTGGCGCCGATGATGTGTTATATGAGACGTGAATAGCCCTTTTGAAATCTCTGGTAAGTAGCACTTTATAAATGTGAATGTTATTACAGCAATCTGTTCAGCTGAAGGCAAACAATGGAGGAGACAAGACTAAATGAGATCAGTGAATGAATGGGAAACATACCTGGGACTAATTCAATTACGCTGTGTTAACATGGAGCACTTTAACACTTTTAACAGCGGCCACCACAGCAGGTCATCTGTGATGTCGCACACTGCAGGTTAAACAGGTTAATGCGAGAGAATGATCAAAAATCGAATAATGCTGAACAGATAAAATATAATCCAGCCGCAACCAAATCAAAAACATCTGACAAAAATGAGCACTACACATCAGCACACCATTATGCTGTGTGCCAGGGTAGTCAAAAATAAGGCCCAGTGCACTAGAATTGGCCTGGAAAAGACTAGCACACTGGACAGCTTTAGAGAATATAAAGGACGGCATCACTTTTCGATTTTTACCTGTAGTTTCATAGGTTTTACAGCTTTTCCTGCTAATAAAGACGTTTCCATACAACAGTAAAATAATAGATACACAAGTAAAGTTTCTTTTTACTATTGACTATAGAAATTTATGGAGTTTTTATTGATTTGTTTTTACAATGGCCCCAGTTAAAAAAAAGTTAAATTGTGAATTATATTACACAATTTAGGTCGTAGAATTTAAGTCATGCTGACAGATTTCTTTCTTTTTTTTGGGACACATTTATTTATTGGTTTTAACAAGTTTTACATAATGCACCATCGGTTTCTTTCCTTTACTACAGCAGTATTTTTCATAATGTAGAAAAACTAAGTCGCACTGTTGAAATTGCACTTCTTTTTCTTATACTGAGATATCTGAGACATCTAATGTGTATTTTAACGTGTTTATACTGAGATAGGAGAGTTTGACTAGTCTGGTCTATTTGAGATTAATGTAAGCTGTATGTGGCATTCGATGTAAAACGACTCGACATCCCAGATCTAGTTTAAGGCACGTACACTACTAATGTCCCTGTTAGCCCGTTTTTGACGTTTTAACATTTCCACATCAGTGAACTGCGTGTATCAAATTCATGCATGTAAGAATTCAGTCAACAACTGGCCTGCATTAAATTACCTGTATTCAAAAATTTAATTTAAACAGTGTGGTCACATTTAACTAAAACTTGTTATTGAAATCTTATAAGGTTAAGCACCACAACATTTAACATGTATCGCTTTCCGTATGGCACAACTCTGAACGAGAGACACTCACACGATTGGACTGTGCATGCCTCCTGTGTCAAATTTAATGCTATGTCTGTTATTTGCAATATGATTAAGACATTTAAGCATTTGTTTAGGCTGCTCTTTTGCTATTTCCATGCAGAAAACAGATCGTTCAGTCTGCACCTGTGTGGATGGTCCGAAGCACCTGCTGCAGTACGCACACTTAGAGGGACTCTTTTGGTAGCAATGACAGCGAGAGCTAAACATTTACAGGTGTGGTTACACTTCACCATAGTTGATACTGAAGCCTTTTGCACATATGGCAGGGTGTTTTGTGGCACACATCAGTGTTGTGTCTGAAGGAGAGGGCCTAGAGAAAAATAAAAAAATGAGCTCTTGAATTTATTTGGTTTCAAGGCTAACATTACTCCAGTTTTGGCAGATTACAAACACATGTATACTGGATTTACTTTAGGGTCTATTCAGTAAAAATTAAACAGATCTGTCTGAAATACAATTTGAGGTTCTGTCCAGAAATTTGTTGTAGCTAATCCCCCGGCTTTGTCCTAATAATATAAATCAGTCATGGTTTTTGTAGCTTACCAACTTTTACTTCTTTTACTCTGCAAAAAGCAGTCAATTTTGTGTGTGTGTACAACAACTGTCATTATTAAAAGAAAAGTTTATTGTGACGGTAAACCACTTTACATTTTGAGACATGATTGCCTTTCATTAGCTTTTGCATGATTAAACTAACTTCCTTTAACTATATGACATGATAAATGCTATTTTCCCTTTTTCTGAAATCCTACATTCACAAGTAAGAACACTGTGAACCTTGAGCTACACTTTGAGCGGGATAAAGAAACATTCTCTTTCAGATAGGTTCGAGTAATAGCTGAGGTCTAGACTTCAGAGAAACACGTTGAGATGGTAAGTCTATAGTATACAACGGCTAGGGGTCAACAGATTAACCCATGCCTGTGTTCCCCACTCCCCTGTCGGCACTCTATTATTGCCCTGTATCTAGTCTGGAATGGAAGGGAGGGAAACTACAGAAGAATGAACATTGAGGAGAGGAGCCAAGCTAGCAAAGAGAGCAAAGCTTTGGGGTAATTGGCCTGGACTGAGGCCAAAAGGTGGAGAGTACGATGTAGAAGGCACAGAAACTACTGCTGATCATATCCAGCCTACATAATGAATTTAGTTATGTAACTGATGACAAGTGGCATCTATCTATCTATCTATCTATCTATCTATCTATCTATCTATCTAGTGAAATATAAAGATGCTGACAAGGATTAAAACCATCATAAAACCTATCCTTCAGCTTCGAGACTACCTTATTGATGAACTGCACAATGACTAGTCACTTGCCACTTGGACCCGGTTTCCACGCAAAAGAAAACACTGGGAGCCGCAAATA